ACAATTACCTCGCCAAGGACGAACTACCGTCTGACCCCAAGGAAGCCAGCATAGTCAGGCGCAGAGCCTGCTCCTACGTCCTGGTCGAACGCAAGCTTTACAGGCGAGGGTTTTCCATCCCTCTCCTCAAATGTGTCGAGGAAGAGATGGTCGCCCATGTCCTGCGCGAGATCCAAGAGGGAGTCAACACCCAACACCTCGGTGGGAGATCCCTCACCAAGAAGGCTCTATGTGCAGGATATTACTGGTCAACCATGCAGTATGACACGAAGGAACATGTGAAAAAATGCGAAAAATGCCAACGGCACGGGGACATGCACTTGGCATCGCCCAATGAACTCAAAGAAATGTCTTCCCTGTGGCCCTTCGCATCGTGGGGTATGGATATCTTATGATCATTCGTCGTAAGGTCAAATCAGAATAAGTACCTGATAGTAGGCGTTGACTACTTCACCAAGTGGGTAGAAGCAGAGGCTCTAACCAAAGTAATGGCTCACAACATACTTCGTTTCTACAAGCGAAACAATTTTTCCTGCTTCAGCATCCCCCAAGTGATCGTCACCGTTAACGAAACACAATTCACGGACAAAAAATTCCAGGAGTTTGTCGCCCAACTGGGCACTAAACAACACTTTGCGTCCGTCGAGCACCCCCAGACTAACGGGAAAGCCGAGGCAACAAACAAGGTAATCTTACGGGGCCTCAAACAGAGACTAGATGAAACAAAGAAATAGTGGATCGAAGAGCTGCACAGCGTGCTCTAGGCCTACCGTACTACGCCTCATTCTTCAACTGGGGAAACCCTTTTTTGCCTGGCATACGAGAATGAGGCGGTGATCCCCATTAAGACTCATGTGCCCTACAGGCGGGCTGAAGTTCCCCTGGACAAGGAAATAAACAACGAGACACTAAGGGAGGAGCTCGATCTCATCGAAGAGGTCCGATCAAGAGAAGCCTTATGCGAGGCCTCACTAAAACAAAATACCGCGATCAGGCACAATGCCAAAGTTATACGACGAGAATTCCAAGTAAGAAGTCTCGTCCTAAGAAGGAATCACAAAGATTCCCATGAAGACAAACTCGTCGCAAAATGGGAAGGACCCTACCGTAATAGAGCAAAAACAGAGAATGAGGCCTACTACCTAGAACGCCTTAACAGGGAAGAACTCGCTCGACTATGGAACGTCGAAAAGCTGAAACAATATAAAAGCTAAGGCCTCAACTGTCGGCGTGCTTCGTCAACACGATGAACATAACGTACCGACCATAGGTGCGCGCTCAAGCACAAGCGATGCACTACCAAAGTAAATCCAGGAAAGATTTTGTTCAAGAAAGAGCAAGACCCATGCCCGACAGCGGCCCCTCGACCTAGTCCGTCGTCGCCAAAGTACCATGAAAGGCAGAACACTCAGCTCGCGATGGGAATTTCACGCTGCGAACTCAGGCCACAAATGCGATCTAAGATCTGCTCTGCTGCCCAGAAGCTATCCAGACCGTTCGACCAATTCCCCGCACTATCGAACATCATTGGTCGAGCATACCCTGAAACATAGAAACCGTTCACTAAGGTAGCTCATAAGATGAGCATTGAGCAGCGTGTGACACTTAGAGAAATTTAAGCAAAGTATAAACATACACGAAAATAAATATTAACATAAAAACGGCCATGAGAGCTGCAACTGTGCTTGTTATAATACAAAAGGGGCCAAGCCCTACACAAAAGAATAGAATTACAAAAACTTGGCGCGCAGGCCAAAAGGTACAAATAAGAGAAAAGTCACTCCTCCAACTGCTGAGGATCTTCACGGGCAGCCTGCGCATGCTCCTCGTCGATTTGAAGGAATACGGAGACGACTATCCTACCGTCCGCAATGCTATACATAAACCCGGTGCCCTCAGTGGACAAGTCAACCCCGGGATTCACGATTTTCAATTGCTCTACGGCGTTGTTAAAGGCCTCTTTGACGATGGCTAGGAAATCATCCTCGACATGGGTAATGCGAGCTACCAGCTCCGCCCGAGAAGTCAACTTCTTCACATCCTCGTTCTCACCCTCGTTAGGTGTAGCGGTGACTTTCAGCTGCTCGACCAGATCCTCAACAACTTTCTTTTCATTAGCAAGGACATTTTTCTCTATGGACAGCTCTTCCCGACACTCACAACCTCCTCGATGGCCCTGACCTGCTCTTCCTGGGACGTTTTAGCCTTCACTTCTAGTGAAAAGGAGCTAGAAAATTCGAGGACAACGTCCCCGACCTAAGCCCTACTCAAATGGCACAGTCACTATACGAGGAGATGCCTGGTATAATCCCCCTGATACACGCGGGGAAAAGCTCCCTCTGGTACAAAACCCAGAATTTCCGTTGAGAAACCACCAGAAAGCTCATAAGCACACCGGAAATCCACGGTTCCCACAAGCAACAAACGCTTTCGTGTCGCAGCAGTGTCAGAATCAACTAAACATCCTAAGCTTCTAAAATCTCTGGCGACGCCTACCACCAACAGTCACCGGAAAATTACCCCTACGTTACCACATTTTGACCCTAACCACATACATTATAAGAAGTGAAAATAAACAAGCCTACAACTAGAGATCAGTTCAAGTACTTACGTGGCCGAGGGGGAGATTTTGAGGTCTAAGGGCTCTAGTCAGTGGATGTATGGCGGTCGGACAGAAGTGGACGGCGACGGACGGCGGAGTGCTGAAGCAGAAAGCAAGAGTAGAGAGAGAAGCGAAAATCCATGACACATGCACGAGCACGCGTGCTAGGGGCATTATCATGACCCTGGCCTAGCCATCATTACGCATTAAATTCAACACATAGCTCGAGGCACGCGTGGAATTTCACCTCTTCAGATCTCATCAACTGTTGGGCTCCCCGTACCTTGAGATCCCCGTCATGCAACATTCCAGGTCCTCCGGGCATAGGTTCCCTCGGGACCAAGTAACTATCTCATCTCAACAACAAACGGAGACCTTGCCTGGTCCTCCTCGGGATTCCGAACTGTCCTTAATTCATCACTCCCGTGCCTGGGAGCAACGACATAGGGAGCTCCTATTTCGGACTGCCCCAATGGCTAGACATAACCCAATCCACTTCTGCTTCCAAAACGGCCCAATTGCCTAAGTCCAACCAATTTAGGGGAACCTTTACCTTTCTGCCCATCCACCTGGAGAGGGTGGCCAGCTTACCCCAGGTTCAACTACTTTTCCTCTTCAATTTTTTCCCATCACGCACGGCCCCACCATCCAGAAACAGTCACGACGCTTGTGTCTGTTACTGCATCCATGCCCGTAGCAACTGCTAGTTTTGGGCACCTATGCCCATCCTAACGACTAGTTTCTGCCAGTTACCTATTTTTCAGGGAACAATTATCTCGCCCCGAAAATATGGACCAATGGCCAAGCGCTGGAGGCACTATAAAAACCCTCTCATTCGAGAGGGTCAGGTATTCAATATTCATCCTGATACACGCATATTATGTACTTACCCTCTTTTCTCTCGATTCTTACTTTAACATCGCAGTGCCTTGCAGGTACACCCCACTCCTCTTCTCTCACATGCACCTAGCATCACATAAGTTGTCTTTGACCCACTTCAGTTTCTGATCAGCCGTCAAGATCAAAACTCATATGAGATATATATATAATTCATGAAGAGTGAAGTAACTAACTACAAGAGTACTCTTGATAGAGTCACCTTTAAGAAGTGACGTCACTTATGAAATTTCAGGTATATATATTCTTAGAACATTCACTAAATTAGAATAGGAATTCACCATCGTAATAGCACATACTTTTTGAGAAGACACCCTTAAAAAGTTGTATGTAGGAGTCTAATAACAAAGATAAAATTCAAGACTACAATCACGTTTATTAAATTTGAATCTTACTCGTTACGCTACCGTTCAAATGTGTCGACGCCTTTGAAGATGTACTAATTTATAAATAAAATAAATTAAAAAACATTTGAATGATACTTCTAAAATCCTTGTTTTAATTTCAAGAGGGGATTGTTGTAACATTTTTCAAACAAATGTTAAGCACGATATGCGCAGCATATTGAAAAGTTCATTGAGCCCACATTGGAGAAGTTTCACATATTTGACGTGTTTATATTCTGGAGGAAGCAATGTCGGCGATTAACACCATGCACGATCTGTTCGGCTAGCTTATCTCGGTTTTGGCTTGGGCTTGGCGCTAATATTATTATTTCTGGTACCAAAAACTTTAACTTTTAATATAAAAATTAACTTTTGAAATTGACACATCATCTTCTTAACACACGTTTGTGATTGTTGATGACCGTTGTGCACACGCCAACGTGTGTCGAGTAGTCAATTTGAGAGAGCCTCCACTTCTGATTTCTCTCCCACCATTTTTTTTATATGAGAATTCGTTTCCATAAAGATAAAATGATCCGAAACATCCTTCATGGATTGGACTCCTAGTGGATTTTTTTAGTATAAATGAAGAGTTTTCTCCAACTTTTTACTCACTCCAAAAACTATTTAGTTTTTCCGTTTTTACTCTCTTTTCTACTCTGAGTTTTTGGAACTCTTCACCTCTTCTCTTTGTTAGGTTTTCTAAGTATTTCTTTTGTTTCCTTCAAAAATAGTTATTATAATGAGGATGACATTACAACACATCTCTTTAATGACAAAAAAAGTTTCAAAATTATTTTAATTCAAAATCAACTGTTTCATCGAAATTCTGATAATTTCACCGCAAATGCAAACATGTACAATAATTTTAAGAAGTCTAGAAGGAAGTAAGCAAGCAATTAGAATGAGGATGACATTAACAACACATCTCTGAATACCCAGAGGTATGATAGATACACTTGCAAGTCAGCAAAATATGGGAATGTAAATAACCTAACATCAAATAACTACCAACCTATCCACACATATTATAAGCTGATAATCAAATGGTAATTAATAAACCAATTAAATATCATTATTTATCGATAGTGGTCACAATTAAAACGTCAAAACGTTTATGCTAATGTGCAAGCTGGTGGGTTGAGTTTGCCTCCAAAAATAGCTTTTGCATTGGCACAATCAGATACAAATGTTGTATTATGTGGACCACCAACGTAAGACAAATCTACATCTGCTACCTCAATGTTCTCACATGGATTCGTTGTGCTGCATTGCAATGATACTGGGATGTTTGAGACTGAGGTTCCGCTTATATTACGGAAATGAACATCACTTATCTTCCATACCGAAGTTGAAGCCTGTAAACACATAACTACGTTACAAAAATGTACCAAAAATTGTGCAAGTAGTAACAGTCTATGAGTCTATGAATCACAGACACCAGACATGATACTGACATGTCCGTATCTCTGTCAACACAGACACAAACATGTTTTTTTAGAGGTGTTAGTGCTAGGTAAATAACAATATTGATAAGCATATAAGGTTGTTTTCTTACCACTCTATCTTTTTTGCCATAACTCTGGTCAATAACAATAGGGTTGTGGACAGCATTCATGATCAAGTTTTCATAGATAATATTTTTAGCCTCAGCTGGTTCTAGTCCCACCCAAGTTTTAATTCTAGCACCATTGGTTGTATTTGTGAAAGAGCAATTTTTAACCAAAACCCCATCTACAGTTTTCTCCTCTTTTCTCTTACCAAGACTTCCGATGCTGATTCCGTGTCCAGGACCGCATTTAATGCCAGTGATAGTAATGTTTAATGTAGTATGTCCAATTGAAACGCAATCATCACCGGTTGCAATGACGCTGTCGGTGAGACTAATCAAGCTGCTGGCGCTAATATGCATACCGTCGGTGTTTGGACTGTTACCGGGAGCGGTTATAGTGAGGTTAGTGAAAGAAAGGTTGTTGCAACGATGAACATGATAATGGAATCCCATGCTGTCTAGTGATGTTATGCCGGACACAAAGGAGTTGTTTATCTTGTCGAATTTTAGAGACTGCACACATATGTATGAAATTGTCAATATTGTTATTAGTAAATAGTAAGGCCTAGGTCAACAAGACCTAACTTTAGTGTATGTGAGTTTCTGATGATTATTGCGACTGCGTCTTTAGAGACAAAAAAAAAAATGCTTACATCAGGAAGAGAAACACAGCTTCCTTTGTTCTTCTTGCAATCATTCAAAGGCCAACTAATAGGTCCTTGGCCATCAAAAACTCCACTACCTTTTAACACCAAGCCATCAATATCTAGAAAAGTGATCCAATCTGGACTAACATAGTCAGATAATTCTGTGGTGGCTTTAAGAGTTCCTATAACTTCAACAGTTATGGGGCTTGGGCTTGTGCATGGGCCTGCGAACATAGTTTGGCTAGTACGGAATACTCCTTCCGGAAATAAAAGCTTTGCCGGTGTAGTACTGTTCTTGCATGCTGCCATCCATGCTGACCTAAATGCCTGCACAATATAATACAAAAAAAAAGTTGCAAGACATTGTTTGTTTTTAAACCAGAAACCGGGTATTTTCTGGCGCAACTGCAATAGTTACAAACATTATAGTAAATGTAATTGCATTGGAGGGATAATTAAATTTGAAGTAAAATGAACTCACTAGAACATTGTCAGTTTCGTCATCAGCTAGAGCACCGAAGGTTTTGACGTCGAAAATTGTCGGACCACCATCATCGAGGAGGCTACGCTGGGTCCCGATGCTACGGGATTCGCCTATCAAGCTACAGAAAATGAAAACAATGCCTAAGAAAAAAAGGGTCTTCACCGAAGCCATGATTGGTGATTATTAATTACTAGATTAGAATATATGTTTAAGGTTTTAAATTGCAGGTTTCTGGTAATGTTTGAGGTTGCTGTTTTTGCAACCTAACTGCAATTCTGAAACCTTGGGAATTTTGGAGGAGTCAATTATACGTGACTTGAATGAATTATATTTATCCTAGAGAATTATAGATTATACTATAGTTTTGAAATCTAACTTTGGTGATTAATCTCCTATTAACCTGGATAATATACATCATTTGATTTTAGTTCTTCTATTTTTAGTGTTGGTTTCCTCTACATATAGCTATACAGTTTTCACTTAGGTTAACAAAAAGCTTAAAAATTAGTGTATATTACTGGCCTCTTTTGAACCTTTAATTTTGCAACAAAAAATGTTGAAAAATTTAATTTCATTGTTGACTGCATTATTGTACCACGCATTGGATTCACAACTGCAAAATTGGTTGACTGCATTTAGAAAGAGAATATAACAGATAAATCTTAGGTTGCTATTATGTTAAGAATATGGTTAAAGATATGCGATCGTTATATATGACATATGTTTTATGTGGGTCAAAAGATAAATAAAATTATAGAAAAATTATTCTAGGATGTTAATTATGAGTTGTGTTTTGGGCAGACAAACACCCAATAAAAAGTCTTACGTCTAATCTAAGCTATGGATCGTTGATCACTGTTGGATATTATCTAATGGTCTATCACATTTTAAATAGTGAAACATTTCAAATAGTAAGGCATGGACATCTCAATCAAGTTTCATATATAAAACACCTCACGTGAAGAAAAATGTATGATTCGACTCGACTCTCACTCACATATTATCTCTCATTCTCTCATTGACTTGGATGTAGAAGTATTAATCTTGCAGGTTAGTCCCTTTTCCGCCTCACCAAAACATGCTCAATCAATCCAAAATCTCATTTCACTATTTCATCAATCATTTTTTTATTCTTGCGAATTTCCACAATCATATTAGTTTGATTCAAGTCAAGATCGTTGTAGAAGTTACACTAAGATGAAGAAAGCAATCTCGATCTTATTTACGTAAGAACCTTAGATCCTTCCAACTCTGGATCATCTCTGATCTTCGTCGTCGATTCGATTAATGGGAAGTCTCCTAGCGAGAGAAATATCCCACCACATAACTCCCTTAAATCAATGATGCAAATCGAGAAGCGAGTGAAGGGTGAATCAGTTTTAGGGTTTCGAGACCACTAGAAAATGGATTGAACTCCTAATGTGACACTTCCACTGGTCGTTACCTCCACCATAGCAAATCATTCAGTATGAGGAATCCTCATTGACGATGGGAGTTTGTTGGACATAATGTACCTCAGAATCTTCGTGAAATTAGGGTTACACATACAAGATTTGAAGTTGTGTAAAGGCAAAAACCTCCTAGCTTCCAATGATTCTTAAACTCGACCATGTGGAGCAGTAGACCTGCCATTTTCCATTGGATAAGGGAAGAAAAAAAGGACTGCAAACGTGCATTTCCTTGTAGTCCCTTGTGAAAGCGTCTACAATGGCATTCTTGAAAGATCATTTCTAGCGACGTTAGACGTCGTTGAAATATGGTGTCAATAATAGTGTTATCATCACACTTTTCATATGTGTTTTTATGATTTTGTAACATTTTTTTGTTTATTGAAATTTGATTTATTGCTTTGATTAATTTGGTTCTAATTTGACCATTCGTTGTAGATTGTACCTTGTGTCACTCCTTACATTCAATAAGTAGGATTTAGTCCATTTCAATGTGTTTTTATCAAGAAAAAGTTGGTCAAAACTTAACATATGTGTACCTTGAATCACAAGTTAGAAAACTTTAAAAAGAGTCTTTTAGATGCATAATTTGAATCAAGTATATAGCTTATTCGAGTCAAAATTTCACATGAAAATCATGATTTTTCCTCTGTATTTCTGATTCAAATCAAGGAATTCTCTTACTCAAATCAGAATATACCATGACTCAACTGATGATTATCTTTGGCTTGAATCATGACTAAATAAACTTCCAAAAATTAAACATGATTCAAAGCAAGTAATTATTTGATTCGAATCATATGTATCACATCATGATTTGAATCAAAGCTTGCCATTTCCAAATTTTAGCACCTTGATTCAAGTCATTGTTTCCTCTAATTCAAGTCATGACCGTATGACTTGACTCAACTCAATCTTCATTTTCTCTCACTTTGGTTTCTAACCTCTAGCACTCATATAAATTTGTTTTATCATTTTATCCAAAAATAATTCATTCTTACGCACTCATAAAAACCTATTTAATGAGTTCTTTTATGGAGCAAGTAAGATCAAAAATGCATATTTTCACAAATCTTGAGAAAAAACCATGATTGTTTTTCCTTTCAGAAACACACATCTTCCTTGTTTCAACCTTATGGAAAACTTCTTAGAAAGTTGTTCTTATGAGATATAGATTGCGTTGTTTAAGACTTTTTAGATAAAAATCATCATCTTCTCCCTTGAAACAAGAAACCATTGTAGTGGTACTCAACTCTAATGACTGAGTATGATTGGTAGATCCAAGGTACACTAGGGAAGCTAATTTTTTTTGTGAAGTTTTATTGTGTGTATTGGGATAAAGAATCATTTTATGTCTATTGTACTTGAAGATTGACTTCCAAAAAAGAGAAAGAGTATTCCCTATACTCCATTGAAGACTTTGTATAACTGTGTAAAGGTTGCTACAGAATAACGTTTGGAGTTTCCAATCATTATTGGATAGAACAAAGGCTTAGATAAGGAACCGATAGGACTAAGTAAAGGTCGATGTGGAACGAAGGCTTGGAGCAGGATCTTTGTGTCTAGCAATATTTTTAGATCAAGATCAATTGAAGATCTTAAAGATTGGATGTTTTAATCTTTTGCTACAACAGAAAGGAAAATCAATTTACACATGTGTTGGCTCAAGCAATTTGTTGGCTTGTAGTGTTCAGCATTTTTTATCATCTTTTGTACCAAAAATACTCTTGTATTAAATTTACAATATAGTTGAAGACCCTACGAATTTTAAATGTGAAACCATTGAAGAGTGGATTAAGCTCTAGCGCTGACGAATGAGCTAAACCACTATAAACTTTATGTACACTCTCTTTAACCTTACCTCTTTTATTTCTTCCATAGATATTGTATTGTTAGACTTTATTGCTTTTCGATAAATTACATGCGATTAGGATTTATTACTTTTGTAGCAATTTATTATGTAAAAGTAGGTATGTATTAGACTAAGCCTCTAAACGATCTTCAAAGTGATTAAACCTGAAATTATGATTGTAGAATCCTTATTAATTAAGTGAGTTTGAAATACACTTCTTGTGCAACTTTCAAATTAGATTAATTTCTACTTGATTATTTAGTAATTTCGTCATGATCACATTCTATTTTCTGAATATCATGTCTTTATCTAAAATCATTCTCGCATATATTTTATCTTTTTCCGCTTCTAAACATTTTATTAAATTTTTACTTTCAAAAGAAAAATGTTTTTTTTTATAATTGGTCTTTTGGGAACGGTCTATTGAACCCCTATTCTAGACCACTCAACTAACATATTCTCCCCTCCAATAGTTGTAGCCTCTACAACCCATATAAATATGAAATACCACACAATGCAGGTAAGTCAATCTTTATTATAGCTGACTTACGTGAAGCTTGTCTGATACATGAAACAATACTGAAGAACCTGTTAGCTGGAGTTTTGACGCTAATAAGGATTTAAGATGTCAGAAAAGTTGAAGGAGATATTTAGAGCAAGTAAGTCGAGTTCGACCAAGAATATCTTAGTGAGATTTTGACTGAATTTGGCGAAGGGGTTTTCACTTCTATAGGGTGATATCATTCTGGGCTTAGAATATTTTTGACCTAGTTTGATAATAACTTCGACGAGATAATTTGAGATAAGGTTGATTGACTGTTTTTTGGCCTTATCCGTTTCTTGAAGGGCGCGTGGAAACCCGTTAAGGGTGAAACATGCGAGAACGTGTCATTCTCTAGAGAGGGGACCGTTTGTTACTATTACTATCAATTTAGTATAAATAAGGGTCCTAGTATCGAAATTCAGGGTGTTTGATTGTATAAAAAAGTCATATTACTCAAAGTATCTAAGTGTATTGAGAAAAAAGTTGTTGAGTGAAATGTACATATGGACCACCGTATTTGCATTCAATATCAAGCCATTTACGTTAATTTTATTTTCGTACCTTTTAAATTTCACTCAAAATCATTCTTCATTTCTTTATCTTTTATAAATTATTATTGCATTACTTTAAAGTTACAAACTAGTGTTGAAATACTCATTATCAAGAAAACTTAAGAAAACTATGTACATATGTCCTAGGATCAATCTAGTCGATCCTGCAAGTAACCAAACTATCAATTTTGGAGGATTAATGATTGTTTACCAAAATCCACAGTAAACAAATTGGCACGCCGAGTGGGACCCTTGTGCTTAGCTTTTTTAATTTTTAGTTTTTTATACATGGAAAACAAATTTTCAAACTTTGTTGCATGAGATTGAGAAGTGGTAGGATGGCCAGAAATAAAGAAACTTTGCCAAAAAGGAAATACGTTAGGAGAATGGTTAATCCACCAAATAACAATGGACAACAACCCTCTCAGACGGCAGGGGAAAGCACGGTCGCAAAGATTGTGATCGAAGTGATGCTTTCAATGATGAGTACGGTGATCATACCGTCAAGTACCCAAAGTGGACCAATATTATCCCGTGTGAGAACATAGGGTCAACCAATGACTCCAAGACCAGTAGTGTCAAGTGGTTTCATGCCTTATGTTCCTGGATTCACAATGCCTATGAATGGTCGGGAACAACCATACGGTATGTCAAGTTCAGTGATGGAAAGTCTGCACAATAGTGCATCAACATTTGATGACCCATCGGTGACTGCATATTCCATTGCCAGGGTCGGGATCACTGTTGACAATCTTGGTCGAAATACCCAACCCCTA